TCTGTTATAATTTTTTTAGTATATTACTTGTGTGGTGTAGAAGAGAATTATTTATGTAGAGATACTGCTTGTAAACCAATGATGGTAAGATGATGTCATGGGGTAGGACTGGATAAGTCTGACTTCTTCCTACTCCATTCAAGCATGTACTAGGTATAAGCAAATTGATATTGGATTATGTGTACAATCATGTGTGTTGTCATATCAACTGTCTTTACATGCTTGAAAGAATAAATCATATCAAAAAAATAAAATCAGCAGCCCATCAGGTGCTACTCATTGTTAATAATAAAAATGTTGTTTAATGGTCCTGTTTCCTTTGAATGTAATGCAACACATTTACAGTACCTAGGAAGCTAAAGTCCTGGTGAAACAGCCATTACAGCATAATGGTTTCAGACTTGATTGGCCTCAACCTAACACCTCCTTCGCCTGGAAAAAGACAGTGAAGGAGAAATTGACTAATTAGACACTGTATGGGTCCTAACAGCCACATTTGACCTCAGCATGTTCTTTAATGTCCTCACTGGCAGCACTTGAATCCATTTATCTGAAAACTACACTTGTTGCTGTTCTGAATGTGGTGAGGATGAGGTATCTTTGTGTTCTGACTGATATTAAGCTCATAGTTTTATTTTTGGGTAAACTGCTTGTTAAAATGGTGCTTGATCTATCCTCAAACACTCACCATCTGTGGACTTGACAGGTGCACATATGAAACTGCTCATGCATCATAATCCTCTTCTCTGCTGTCCATCTGTATACTCGGTATGCTTTAAATATTCATCATATATTGTTGCTAAGATATAATATACTGATTGTAATACTGTAAACCGACACACATATCAGAAGTATTTAATATTTAATGTTATATCAACTGTGGTATATGCTTGAAAGAATAAATCAAATCAAATCAAATCAAAACCTCATGCAGCTGTTTCCCAGATAACTTTATAGAACAGGGCCATTTGTCTTTGTTATAGACAATATTTGTAAATGATGGCACTTTTTGTCTCTCAACAGGAGTTTCATGCATCTTGGTGCTGGTCTGAGTGTGGGCCTCAGCGGTCTGGCAGCCGGGTTCGCCATCGGCATTGTGGGCGATGCCGGTGTGCGAGGCACTGCCCAGCAGCCCCGGCTTTTTGTGGGCATGATCCTGATCTTAATCTTTGCTGAGGTGCTGGGGCTTTACGGCCTCATCGTGGCCCTCATCCTATCTACAAAATAAGTGTCTGCATCAAACATCATTTCATTCATTCCACATCAAAGCAGCAAGAACAAATAGGAGATTTTCACCTACTTCCATTACACCCCATGGGTCTGACAGGATAGGATGGCGACAGAAACATGTTGGCGCTCGACTCTGACAGCTGTGTCCTCTAGATGTGATTTATCCATATTGTTAAAGCCATCCAGTTGTGTCAGGTCCTGTATGTACAGAATGGGCATGAAGATGTACTGGTTGTTATGGGATGATGTGTGGACAGTCTGCTGTTGTCTGATCTTAACCTGTACAGTGATCCAGAGTCCCCCTTGTAAATGTAGTAACCAGTCTGTGCTGTGAGTATCAATGTTTACCCCTCTGCCCATACCCCTCCTTCAGTTCTTGTTTTATGTTGGTGGTTTTGAGCATCATCCTCAGTTTTGAGAGTGCTGAAAAGTCGTGCATATTAGTATTTATTTTATGTTCTTTTTTTTGGGACTATTTATTTTTTTATCACAGTGGTGAGGAACTGTCAACTTTTTTTGCACTATTTATGGAAAGCTATGAAGATTTTGACTGTCTAAATGGAATAATGTTTATTGAATACCCTATATACATAAGTTATCTGTGTATAGTTACATTTATTGCACTGTGGGAGTTGTAGGTGCTTGGAACTCCTCTGGACGTGGTGTGATTATTAATGGAAGATGTCCACATGTTGGTACTGTATGTGTGTGTGTACATGTATGAATGACCCAAGTGTATAACGTGTGCAAGGGGATTTATGTTTACTATAACATTCTCAAACACTAGTATTGTTTACCTGTAGTGCTGCTGTCTTTATTTTTGTTTTAAGGTAAGAGCTCACTCTTCAGCCATGCCTGTCAGATTTCCAAATAAAACTCAACCTCCTCCAGAATGTCTTTGTCAAGCTTTTTATGTCTACTATTACTAAACCTGTTTCCTTGATATTTAGACTTCTAATCAGTCGATAGCACTTCACTGTAAATGGAGTCGGAAATGTTTGTCTTGATCTCTCACTTGCTATAGATCAGTGATAATCCAAAAAGTCCTGTGTAAGAAAGGGTAAAAGAAAATCTTACTTTCTTTAAAACACGTAAGTATGGCTCAGAGAATGTGACCAGGACAGAACCAACACAAACAATTACTGTATCAAAGATAAACTGCAGGGTGTGCAGTTAGCCATGACAGCAGGGCATGGGTGTGCAAACGATGTGGGGTGGATACCGGCTGAGATGACGCACGTGGACAATATTTTATAATGTGGAATGCCAGAGATGGCCTAGACAAGAAGTCCCCATTACAATGAAATGGCATAAATCAGGGGCGTTGCTAGACATAAAGCTCTACTGGGGAGTAGGACCTCCATTACTCAAATCACAGCTATTTTTTTTGTGAAAGAACTACTGGTAAAGGTAAAATGTAGAGATATTAATCTTTATGAAAATATTTATTTCAACATACATTAAGAACATTATCAACATCTTTCTCCATACTTTCCCTTCCTGCCTCAAGTTCACTTGTTTGTTAAATGTCTATAAAATAAACATTATTTGGCCTGTGTGACACGAGCATCAGATATATTATAGGCTATTAAATGCAGAATGAATAGTCCTGGCCACTTTATTAGGCACACCTGCACAATTGTAGGCACTTCAAAAAAAGAAATTCAAGTTAGGTTGCAGTACTAAGGTGATTGTCCTATTAGGTATTCATGTTTCCACTTTGGTGAAATTGTCATAAATTCAGTTATATGTTTATTATTGAGTTCGTAGTTAAAAGTAGTGTTGTACTGGACTACATTATATTCAGAGGTGTTCCTAATATTCTGACCCTCTCATCTATGTAGCTGGGGAGGACAAATAAATAGAGATGCTTCTAAATATAATGTAGTCCAGTACAACACCACCTTTAATAAAGGTAATAAATATAATTAAATTTATACATTTATGACAATTTCACCAAAAAAAGAAAATTGAGCTTCACAAACACAGATGTTAAGACTTTGCAACCTGATTAGACCTCCAGTCCGGTGGACGCTGGGTGGAGCTCTGCTAACTGTAGGGCTGAAGCAACTAGTTGATTAGTATGCATTCACAAATAATAATAATAATAATTATTATTATTATAACAATAATAATAATAATAATAATAAAACCTGGGTTTGCTTCCGCGTTGTGCGGCCCACTGCACGTGCGCACATGTTGTTCCAGTCGCAGGCAGGCAGGCAAGTGTGAGCGAGCTTAGTGCGTTCTGGACACGGGACAGCTCGTTCATGAATGTCACGGTAGCATTAGCGAATCGGTGAGACGTTATTTCTGCTCGTAACAGCAATAATTTGACAAATAAAGGTATTGCTCTTCAGTTTTTTGGTTCATTGCGTGTGGCTTTACAAGTAGATAATTCATCAGCTGTTACCTTTTATGAAGAACAATTGAACATGGCATCTCTCTTTTTTCTAACATTTAACTCTGCATTGCTCCAACATGAGTTTTGCCTATGACTTCCTCTGGTTGGTAGTAGGCTACTGATATTTTTGAATAGTCTTTCATAACATTGTATCAATTTTCATATGTCTGATATTACTTAAATGTATAATAGATACATTGGTGAAGCTTCTTTATTTGTAACTGTGAAATAAATCCCATACCATAATCTGTAAATCCAAGAAAACCTGCAAATATTAGAGTATGAGAAAGTGAAACTAGAGAGAGATTTTCTTGACATTTTGCTTATGAAAAAAATTGATTACTCAACAAAGCAGCTTAATTATTTTTCTTTCAATGATTCCCCCAACTCCTCATATACAATCTTTCATTGGGTAAAGTACAGGGATTATGTAACAGAAGCTGCATTTGGACAGTAACTTTATTCAGTTTCAGAGCTATAGCTTAATGCTACAGATACAAACTGTTAGCAAAAGGATACACAATGACCACAAAGAGATGCAAAACAAACACTAAAAAGACACAAAAGATCCCTTACACTCATGTGTCTTCTCCCTTTCTTTATCTTTCTCTTACATGCATACAAAGGTGGTCCTGACGTCACCGTTGGTGGTGCCTGAGGTGGTGCAGTTGCACAAGAACGGCTGGTATGGTGAGTTATGTTCCCATCAGCTTGCATCTGAATAAATATAGCCTATTTAAATTAATGTAACAAACAGTAGGATTCCTGCCCCTAACCATGTATTAAAGAAATCCAAGTCTGCTAAACAAATTAATGAGTGGACTTATTAAGCTTTTCTTCACTCCAGTTCAAGCTCTTTACCTGCTGCTGGATTAAAAGGGTGGCTTTGCTCTTTATTTACCTGTTGCTATAATGAATCTTAGTATCAAAGCTCCATTGATGATGGCTTTTTATAGTCAAGACATACTGTATGTGTTTCTTTATATGCATACATGAAGCCACAAAAGGGAAATTTAGGAAACTTAATTGTAACTGTTTTGGTTTATACTGTACAAGCTGTAGCATAACTGATCTAGTTTATATATTTTTATATATTTACTTGATACTTACTGTAAATGTGTATTACTTATCAGAAAATTAAAGCAAACATAAGAGCATCTAGAATGTAATCTAAGGTGCCTGTGAGATTTTGGGCACCGATGTGAATTTTTTGTTAATTTATGCTTATCAATTTCTTTACCAAGCCGATTCATTTCACCATTAATCTACCAAGATCTAATCAAGCTAAAGTCAAGGTCAGATTTGATGTGTACTGGAAGCTTCCTGTGCTGTGAGCTCCTCCCAACAGCTGCTCGTCATTGTTTACGGTCAGACTAACGTAAAGTAGGTCATGGAAAAGGGAAGCTTAGCTTGCTAGCTATTAATTCCCAGTTGCTGTGTATTAAATGTATAGCAATAGCTGATATCAAGAGACAACATCTTTGTAGTGTCGTTAGTGATTTCACGTGAATGCTAGTTATGAACAACCTGCAGGTAATGTTAAATCTTTTTGTTCAGGCTTGATGGCCGCACGGAGCTAACGAAAGCTAACTGGCTCGTTTACGCTAGCTATCTGCATTACCTGCCAAGTTATTCCGCCTGTACTTGGCCAACAAGCCGTGAGTGGTAGTTAATAACATCTACTCATGTAGTGGTCTGTATATATATATATATACACACACACACACATATAACCATAGGTCTGACTTAAACTCTGATGCCTCTGACCTTGTTATAGCTTGCTACATGTTTACTGCATGCGCGGTGCAAACGCTTCATAACGTTACTGTAGGTAGTTAGGGTTAGCTGCTCTGTTTTGTTAGGCTAGGTGGCTAACTGGAGCTAGTTAGAACAACAACACTCGCACGTTACTGTAGGTAGTTAGGGTTAGCTGCTCTGTTTTGTTAGGCTAGGTGGCTAACTGGAGCTAGTTAGAACAACAACACTCACACGTTACTGTAGGTAGTTAGGGTTAGCTGCTCTGTTTTGTTAGGCTAGGTGGCTAACTGGAGCTAGTTAGAACAACAACACTCACACGTTACTGTAGGTAGTTAGGGTTAGCTGCTCTGTTTTGTTAGGCTAGGTGGCTAACTGGAGCTAGTTAGAACAACAACACTCACACGTTACTGTAGGTAGTTAGGGTTAGCTGCTCTGTTTTGTTAGGCTAGGTGGCTAACTGGAGCTAGTTAGAACAACAACACTCACACGTTACTGTAGGTAGTTAGGGTTAGCTGCTCTGTTTTGTTAGGCTAGGTGGCTAACTGGAGCTAGTTAGAACAACAACACTCGCACTCAAAGGTCATGTTTTCCCTGCTGGTGGCAGTGATCTGTGGACTGGAAACGTACTGATGTTAACGTTTTGTGTTACGTTAAGTAGCGGTGATGATGATGTGTGTGCAGCCCCACAGTCGATATATTTGTGGTAGGCTGAGGTGAGATAATTTTCTGCTGACACAATTACTTAATATAAGAAGAAACTGCAATTAAAACTGAGATAGCAGGATCAAATGGAATTTCTTATTGGTGTAAGAAATAGTATTTTTCTCTGAAACATACAGAAAACCAGGATAACATTAAGAAACCAAGTTATGTATATATCACAAGGTATGCACATAAGGTAAACAGTTCCAGAGCACATGCAGTGCTTTAAACTAGAAACAGCAGTTTAAAATCTATCCAGGCTATTTGTTATAAAAGACTTGTCTTAAGTGTCCCTACTTATTAATACACATTGCCATTTGTTTTCCAGCAGCTGTTTTGATGCTGTTCTTTCAACATCTGGACTAAACCTGTACTGACTGTCAGGTTCTTCTACCGGTGAGACTTTGTTGCTGATATGTCTAGACGAAGCAGGAACAGTCGTGCTTGGAGATATGTTTGGGGTGGAATACGGCGGGATGCAGATGCCCGGACACTGGTGTTGGCTTCTGAAAGTGATACGTGGAGCTATGACCGCTTAGAGGTAAGCATACTATATCTGAACAAATACAGAGCACCAGTGGACATGTACGTTTTGTGTCCTATGATTCACTTGTTTGCACTCTAGACAGGCAATAGGATATGTTGCTGTGAGAAGGCTGCTAAATGTTCAGTTATTTACATGCTTTGTATCAAAAGTAATCATTTTCCAAAGGAAACAAATGTACCGTAATGTCTGCCTTTTAAATTAAGTCAAATTTTCACTTGTATATTTTCCAGTGCAATACCAGTTTTTTTTTTGTAGCATGCTGACATCAAAACCCATTCTCTGTAGTTACATAAGTGATGCTGCTGGTATTTGATTTAGTGCTTTTTTTTTTTCTTCATCTTTGCTCCCAAGTATAGTGACTCAGACTCTGAGGCGGACTTTTCAGCAGTGATGGTCCCTCCAGTCCCCAGTGCAGTGCCTGTCACTGGAGAGTCCTACTGTGGCTGTGATTCCCAGGCTGAAACCAGCTGCAACCCTCGTCTACGAGGTTTTCGTCAAGTTAAAGACTGCCACTGTGGAGAGGATGACCAAGGTATAAGATAGCTGCAGCATTTCAAAGACAAACTTACCACTTATCAAAAAAAAATAATTTATTGTGTTATTGACTGTGAATGACTTCTGATGTTTCAGATTTTGATTGGGTGTGGGATGCTAACAGTCGATCGACAGCAACGTTACTGAGCTGTGACAATCGCAAAGTGAACTTCCACTCTGAATACAGCTGTGGTACAGCTGCAATCCGTGGCTCCAAAGAGCTGGTTGAAGGGCAGCACTTCTGGGAAATCAAGATGACGTCCCCGGTGTATGGAACAGACATGGTAAACCTCTACTTCTTACAGGTCTTATAATGTAAATTCATTTTCCAAAATAATTTCTGAGTAGATCAGTCTGAGACATGAGATTTATATGTGAAGCTAAAGCAATTTGTTTTGTTTTTTTTCTAAATTTTTTATTTGTGTATAGATGGTTGGCATTGGTACTTCTGATGTCAACTTAGACAAATACAGACACACATTCTGCAGCCTGTTGGGGAAAGATGCCGACAGCTGGGGTCTGTCTTACACTGGTAGGACCAACACAAGATGCTATAATGTAGCAGTAACTGCAATAAATGCTTATTGAATGAGTTAGACATCATTGGTTGTCTTCCGTTTTCAGGCTTGTTGCATCATAAAGGAGACAAGATGAACTTCTCTTCTCGGTTTGGACAGGGTTCCATCATCGGAGTCCATCTGGACACGTGGCATGGCACACTCACTTTCTTTAAGAATCGAAAGTGTATAGGTTAGTCCTAGGGCCCGGACTGATCACAGTGCTGGTAGTTTGATTACTGTTTTAGTTGATCTCAGCAATCAGATTCTCTTTTGATGACGATTTCATACTGATGCTGAGCAACATACTGATATGAATTCACCAGGATTGTTTTTATTTAAGTTTACATTAGTCAAGGAAAGCGTGGGAATAAAAACTGAGTTTGTCACCTTTCTCCTTTCTCAATCCAGGTGTTGCTGCCACAGAGCTACAAAATAAGAGGTTTTATCCGATGGCGTGCTCCACGGCAGCGAAGAGCAGCATGAAGGTGATCAGATCCTGCTCTGCACCTACATCCCTGCTGTACCTTTGCTGCGCTCGCCTTCGCCAGCTGCTGCCGGACTGTATAGACACCCTGGATGTGTTGCCACTGCCGCCAGGCCTTCGTCAGTTGCTCCAAAACAAACTAGGTTGGGTGCTCAGTCTCAATAGTGGTGCCACAGAAGAAACCCCAGACGGGCTGGAGCACCCATCACGTTTGCCTGTTACCCCCTTGGCTGGACCATCCTCCTCTGAGAGCGACTCAGAGGGTTGTACATCTGACCCCGAAGCTTGTCAGAGGAAGAGATGCCGCTGGACATGACTGGACAGTTTGAAAACTACCTCCTCTGAAACGCTGGTAGATGTTACTGTCCTCTGGCATCTAATCTCACGTTCCTGACCTACTGTAAGCTTTCCTCAACACCAGTGTTACACAGTAGTAAAGATAGTAATCTGGAACAGTTGCTCAGAAGGAGTAGTCTGTAGGTGGAAAACTGGCATATTTCTGCTGGCATGTGATCTTCCATGCCTTTCAAACATCTTCATGCTAATCATGCACTTAGTATCATTAGCATAATATCATCATAGCTTCATTGCATAATATATGGTAATATATGGTGATATTTTGTTACCTAGCATAATCTGTTGCCATTCATATATGGGGATTAGCGATGTGTGGGAATGGTATAGTAAAGTGTACAGTGTAACACTGAATTTGATTATGGCCAAATTTTGGTGGTCTTTGTGGCATATTTGCAAAAATGTGGTTTCAAAAATGAGACTTTATAGATGTTTTCTGTGTTTTCATCCTGTATGCAAATCATTTATGTTGTTTTCAAACTAAATGATGTCCATGCATTATCAGAGTGCTTTGTTATCTACTATTCTGGCATCAGCAAGTTCCTTTTAGGTTGCCGAAGTGAGAATCAGTTGGTATGCTTTATTTCTTACCAGCACGTCATACACACCACTGATTACTCAGTATTATTTTTCTTGAAAGGTTACAAATGAAATGTTTGTTGTATTCATGGAAACATCCATCTCTCATCAGCTTTTTGAAGCCTCCTGTGGAACAGTCATTCTCCTTGTTTGTAGACCCAATAGATTTCCTCTTTTTTACAAGATGTAAGCACTACAGATTATTATTTAGTGCAGCTCTTTTAAATCAGATTATAAAATAGGGCACTCAGATGAGACTGCCAAACATATAAGTAACTTTGTGTTGCTGTTACACCTTTTAGAACTTTTTAAATGAAAATAATTTTAGATGATGAGCAGCTTTAATGTTAAACTTTTGTGTACTGAACTGTTTCATCCATTTCCTCAACAACTCCTCATCACTAAGGTCGTATGTATAAGGCTAAAAACACATTTTGCATGTTACGCCACTGTCTGGTGACAATCACAGCTCTGACTGAAGCTTTGTTTTTAGCCATATTTTGTCATAACTGCATCTTTTGGAACATATTAAGCACAAGAAAGAACAGTCGAGAGATGGACTGTGGTGCCTGAGTGATTTTCTGCAGATATTTTGATACTCTGGGAAAACTTGTTGAGAAATAAAATATTTTACAGAGTGCTGGTGGTAGATCGTGAATGACTGTGGAGGGGAACATTTTTCCTGGATCAGATCTGTAAATATTTTGTTTTGGTTTTTGTTGAGTACAGGACTGTAATGGTATAAGTGTAATAATGGTGCTTGTCCCAGGTGTTGAAGTTACAACTGCTGTCTCAGTCACCACCCTCTGATTGTGTCCACTCTGTAAGGTTAAGTTGATATACACAACAATTTCAGGTACTATGCAATGCAAGCGTTGTCTGTGGTAGTGGTTTTTAGTAGGAATACTTGTATCAGGATGTTATTATGCAGACAGTGGTACCAGAGGACCATACTCATCAGTCATGAGTAGACATGACACACCTAACTCCCTCTCCAGTTGTATAATGATTTATCTGAGCCCCCTCCCTGTAGACCCAGTAATGTAATTACCAAGATTTTCATTGTAGTCCTGTAAAAGTGGTTTTGACTTCACATTGATGTATCTGAACACTTTTTCCTTGCTGTTATACTGTAAATATGAAAAATTTAAAAACCTTCTTCTGTAAAATGCTGTTTTAAAGATACTATAGATGAAGGCGTTGACTCGCCTTTTTCAGTGTAAGTTAGAATGATTCTCAGCTGAAAATAAAATGAATACTAAATATGCACAAAGGGCTGGACTTGTTTATTTATGACCAAGAAAATAATTAGGTTTTACTCAACTTTGTAACTTCCAAGATTAGAACAATATTTGAGATTTTCTTTTGTTTGATAGAAGTTATTGATGTGCTGTGGGCATATTTTTGTATTGATGGCAGATAACCATTTAAATGTAACTGACTCTTGCTGTGAATGTGTAGCAGCTAGCTTTTTCTGTCAAATCCCTCACATGACACAGTCATCTGCTCTGTTCTCTGCACGTTCATTGGAGAGGTTTTAGTTTTTTCAGTATTTAAAATGGGGCTTTGTTTCATGCAAAGCCTATACTGTCTGGTGTCAGTTTAATGCTGTTCTTTATATCTGGAGACATAATTCAAAATCTCAGGGCTTTATAAACCGCTACGATTTCATAAAATCCATTTTATTTTATTGATGGTACCCCTTATAATTTAATTATCAATGCAGTTAAATGCACTGTATAAATATGATTTAATTGTTCCTTCATGCGGAACAATTTCAGCACTCGCTGTTCACACGGAACACATTATGTTCGGACCAAGTGAGCGGAAGTTGTGTTGCTTCATTCCTTGCTTGCTTGCGGAGGTCGAGTGGAGTTGATCTCGCTTTTCAGGGTCGAGTAGGTATTTAAATGACAAGCATTTCCAGGGTACAAGCAATATCGGCAGTTCAGAAAGATAACTGTAAATCAATTAGTTTGTTGTTAGTTACATGTGATTTTATAATTTGGTTTACCATCTAATGCTAGCTAACAGCTAACTCGGATTAGCCTTCATACATTGTGTTCATGCATTCCTCAGTTTTACAAACAGTCGTTTCTCCTCTAGCCAACAAGCCAAAGAGTTACTTTAAGGTCATGTGTAGCTGAATACATGTCCACTCTTGCAGGATAGACGTTGCTTGCTGTGTATCAGCTGGGATTGTGGAGGAGCTGCTCTGCAATTCACAGTCATGGTGAAAAAGAAGCCCCCTCGCCTCATAGCCGAAATGGCTCGGAAGATCCGGGCGTACCGAGAGCTGAAGTCCCGGCCGCGGGACTCCCAGAAGTACGCTCTGGACTATGATACAATGAGGCGGCCTCACACGGGGAAGATGCTACCCGTGATGGCCTGGCAAGATGTCCGCAGGGAGTCTCGCCTCTTCTCCCTGCTGGCAGGTATGAGGCTGTTCGGAGTGGGACGCCTCTTCACCCGCAAGTCCTGGCTGGAGGACCACGCAGAGCCCAGCTACTGGCAGATCACCAAGGTTAAAGTGGACTACACAGCTGAGGTGAGAGGAGGCCACATCCATTCACTGTGCCTGAATGTTAAGTCTGCATATTGTCATGCTTAACATGTCTAGCAATGATTTGGCAGGCTATCGTCTAACCAGTGCAGCTGATCTTTGTGTGTGTGTTTTCTAGAACATGGATCATGGCAAGGCATGGGGGATCCTCACATACAAAGGTAGGATTGGACCAGTTGATCAGATTTGAAACTAGGAGTGTATTCATACAGGTGGTTGAATAACCATTTCTCATGTTGAAACTGGTAACATACTGTTGGAACAGTCCTATCATAAATATTAGATATGTGAAATATTCTGGGTGATGATGGTTGAACAGCAGCTGAAAATACTTTAAACTTAATTTAAAATATTTTAGAAGATTTAAAAAGTGGAAATGTAGTTTAGCATAGCATTTTTGGCACTAAATTATGTGTTGAAATACAGTTATTAAATGCTGTTGAGTAATTTTTAAAAAATATAAAACAGGCATCTAAAAATTTATATTCAGTTTTAACCTAGCTAAATGCTTTTTCAACTGAAAATCACCAAAATCATTTGGATGTTAGGTCGACAAATAAACGTATCCATTTGGATTCATCTTCTGTCACCAGCACTATGTCCCCATCAGGTTCCAGTTCAATGAATATTATTAAATATATATCTCTAAACAAACTGCATGCAGTAATGTTGTTGCGTTTTGTGCTTGGCAGGAAAACAGGAGAACGAGGTCAAGGAAGTGAACAAGGTGATGTATCATGACTGGCGCCTGGTTCCTAAACACATAGAGCAACAGTTTAGGGACTTTGAGCCACTCCCTGAGCCACCTGTGCGCTATGTCCCCTATCCTCCGCTGCTCCGTGCCATGATGCTAGCCCAGCACAAGAAAGCCTATGGTAGTATACTGACCGAGGAGCCTGCCTTGCCTCTGAAGACGGATGTCCTTTTCAGAAAAGACTATTTTCTTAAGCAGGAACAAGAGAGGCAGAGGGAGGCTGGGACAGAGGTGTGATGCTCCTCTGTGAATGTGGTCCTTGGACATTTTGAACAAAATCAGTGTTGACAGAAGCAGCCAGCGTGCCCTTGCCTCAAAGATTCATTCTGGACTCAAATGACTTCTCTGCTATTTTCATCTGAAGCAGGCCTCTGTGGGTGTAATGTGTCACAGTGTGATGTGCTAAATATTAAACTTAATTTTGATTTGATTTATTCTTTCAAGCATGTAAAGACAGTTGATATGTCAACACACATAATTTTACACATATCCAACAAATGCTAATCCAATATCAATTTGCTTATACCTAGTACATGCTTGAATGGAGTAGGAAGAAGTCAGACTTATCCAGTCCTACCCCATGACATCATCTTATCATTGGTTTGCAAGCAGTATCTCTACATAAATAATTATCTTCTACACCACACAAGTAATATACTAAAGAATTATTACAAAGTATTAACATTCTTACACCACACCCACAATGTTCCATCTAATTAATCAATGAGCCTGTTCTTGCATATATCTTGATTGACACATACCTTTATATTTATGTTTAAACTCGTCAATTCTATTACTATTTTTTATGTCCACACTTAAATTATTCCACAGTTTTACCCCACTTATGGAAATACAAAATCTTTTTTTTGGTTGTACGTATAGCATGAACTTTTAAATTTAACTGACC